ATTCATCATCACAAGGAGTATATCAAGATTTATCTTGAAATATAGTGCTGCCACTGTACTATATATTATAGAATAATAATACATTATATGTAGGATTTTAATAATTAATCCTCTGTAGCAGTGAGTTTAAGGAGAGTAATTTGATTGAGATTGGATTTGAGGAGAGGGGATGAGTATTAATGAAGGAAGGGCGACCAGAACTAGAACTACAATGTAGGGTGAGCTAAGATGGTGATGGGGACAGGGTTGGTGTCAATGAAGATTAAGAGGAGCACACATTTAAGAACTTGCCATTGATTAGATTAAGAGGATAAGAAAATAAGATGTGCTTCAGATAGCTCCTAGAGGCTGTGTCTGACCTCTTCTAACTTCACAAGGCTGGAGGAGGATCAGGAACATAAACAACTAAAGGCTGATTTCCTATGAGGCAGAGGTCAGACATGCTGCCACCCTCCAACTTTTTTACCAATTCTGACACCAACCATCCCTCCCACAGCACTCTACTTCTCTCTTGGGTTCAATAATCTGTTGCAGTGGCCACCCAGAACTCACAGACAATACTCATGATTATTGCATTTATTAGGGAAGTAACAGGTTACAATTCAGGATCAGAAACAAGTTAGGATACAGTTCTTTAATTAGGAAAGCATCTTCTCAGCTATGCCACAGGCACACTTCTCTCTGGCCTTGTTCTCTCAGCGCTGCAGCCCTTTGGCCTCTGCTCTGCTCAGGCAAGTGTTACAAAGTTCTTTTAGCTCTGCCAGTAGGTGCTCAGAGAGGCACTCCACTCTGCGAGCAAACCTTCTGCCTGAAGGCACTCAGCTTTATTACTCTGCAGGCCAGTAAGCCCCCCACTGTTTCACACCAGTCTCTTGGTTCTGTGCCCCTTCCATCACTATCTGCTGTCTCTGCACAGGAATCTCAGGTCCAAGGGCACACTCCAGTCCTGGTTCTTCTCTCTTCATGGTAGTGAGATCCCCTCTTTTTCTGCCTCTGAGAATGGGTCAAATTTAAGCCTACCAAGATAAACTGACCAATTCTCACGCTGTGGTTCCATACACCTTATTTGCATGGTCCCATCCCAACAAGGATGCCACGTACCTTATTTACATTATTACCAAGCTATCTAGTCTTCTTGGTGGGCCATAAGCACTTCATATTGTAATAGTTTCACCCAGTCATCTGGTGGGAGTCACCAAGACCATGGCTAGAAGAGTCTTACCAGGTAATTCACTTTTCTACACTGGTTAATTGAAATTCACTATAGAGTTTTGGCATTCCAAGATGCATATAAAAGGTTCTCCTGTGGGATTATTTAAAAATTACTGTTAATAGTGTTTGCTGTGTGCCATACATATTTCAATTCATGTAATCATTTAATCCTGATGACAGTCCTGTGAGGTCAGTACTACTATTCTCTCTATCTTACAGATGAGAAAACTGAAGCACAAAGCACAAAGAAATTAAGTGACATGTTTAAAGCCGTCCAGGCACTTTGGCTCCGCAGTTCATGACCATAACTACTTGGAAACTTGTTTTGTTTCCCTTTTTAATAACAGCTTTATTGAGATAATAAAATTTTACACTTCTAAAGTGTCCAATTTAGTGGCTTTTAGTATATTCACAGAGTTGTGCAACCATCACCATTATAACATCTTTATCACCCCAAAAAGAATTAATAGTCACTTCCCTTTTCCCTCTCACCTCACTCTCAGCCCCCAGCAACCAGTAATCAACTTTCTGTTTCTGGGTATTTGATGTAAAAGAAGTCTTTTGTGATTAGCTTCTTTTATTTATCATGTTTTTAAGGTTCATTCATGTTCTAGCATATATCAATACTTCATTTCTTTTAATTGTGGTAAATATATATATAACGAAACATTGACCATTCCAACATTTTTTACAAGTACAGTTCAGTGACCCTAATTACATTCATCATGTTGAGCTTGGACGCTTTTAATCATAACATTTGCATAATTCGGTTTTATTAATTATTCTAATGAATTTAAGGGAGCTCTGGTAAGTGTAGTGCCTAAAGCACTTGACTGCTGACCAGAAGGCTGGTGGTTCAAACCCACCGGCCACTCCTCGGAAGGAAGGTTGGGCAATCTACTTCCGTAGAGTTACTGCCTCGGTGGTAACCCAAGGAGGAGGGGTCGCTATGAGTTGGGTCCGACTTGATGACACATAACAACAACAAATGAATTTAAAATCGAACTGGATTGTGCCTTTCCTGGGAAGTTTACTTTTTGGAATTCAAATAGCATCCCCAGCTATGTTTATGTACCACTGAAACAGTCAGTGGTAATATTTTCTTTAATTAAATATTGTTTTTACTTTCAGGATTCTCCTTTGAAGTTGCTTGCTCTTTATATTGCATTTTCACTATTCGTAGCACATTTTAAATACTAGTATTGATTTTGCTGTGTGTAGTTAAAGGTGCCTCATGATATGGAAAGGAGCTCTAGTGGCACAGTGGTTAATGCATTTGTCTGCTAACCAAAAGGTTGGCAGTTCAAATCCACCAGCTGCTCCATGGGAGAGAGATTTCAGTCTGCATCCATAAAAATTTATAGCTTGGGAAACCATATGGGACAGTTTTGTTCTGTCCTATAGGGTCTCTATGAGTTGGAATCAACTTAATGGCAGTGGTTTGGGTTTTTGGTTTGTGATAATGGAAGTTAAAGTCTTTAATAATCTTCACAAGTTGGAATGAGCTAGATGTTTGTCTTTGCAAAAAGATTAAAACCCCATTGTTGTTGTTGTTGTTGTTGTTGTTTGCCGTCGAGTCGGCCCCGACTCATAGCGACCCCTCCTTGGGTTTCCGAGGCAGTATCGCTACGGAAGTAGGATTGCCCAACCTTCCTTCCGAGGAGTGGCTGGTGGGTTTGAACCGCCAGCCGTCTGGTTAGCAGGCAAGTGTCTTAGCCACTATGCTACCAGAGCTCCCAAAAGTGTAGGTATTTAATCTTTGCTGTGTGAATAGTGGTAATGTAGGTAAGGTTATTGTTGCACTGTTAACTAACAGCCTCTTACTGAGAGAGGAGGGACAGTATTAATCACAGTGGATACTGAAAGTCTTCCTAGATTGGAAACTGGTGCTGACTAGACATACTCAAGGAGGATCTCTTAAATTTTGATGTGGGAGAGAATATGGTCCATAGGAGTAACTTCTTGCTACATGGGATCAAGCATTGGGGGTGGGGGGAGCTGGAAGCCAGACAAGGTACATGTCCTCTGAAGCTAGCTATTAGGTGTGTTTTTAAAAAGACAGATACCTAAATGTTGGAAATTTGCTTCTGTTGTTTACATTTTTTTCTGTAGTTATTCCATAAAGTCCTTTCTGCAAAGGTCGTCTTATTTTTATTATGATTTGGGTGAAAATTTACAGAGCAAATTCACTTTCCATACAGCAGTTCACACACTTTGTCTCATGACATTGACTACAATTTACCCTAATGCAACAGCTCCCCTCCCACTTCCTCCCGGTAGTTACTTCTTTCCTTTGTCCATCCCTCCGTGCCCTCCTGCCCCCTGAGTTGTCTCCTATGCATAAACAGCCCTTCTTTCTCTCATGATTGTTCTCTCCAAGGAGTGTATCTACCTCAGGTAAATATTCAACTCATATGCCTGTCTTTTGTTTGGCTGGAAGACACAGGTGTGGGTTCAGTTCCAGACATGAAGGGCACCTAGGGGCCATAGTCTCAGTGGTTCCACCAGGCTCTATCACACCAGCAAACCTGGTGTCCCCCCGCCCCCCTTTTTTTCCGTCCAAGTGATTTTGAGTTTTGTTCTACATTATTCTCCCTCTCTATCCAGGATCTCCTATGTAGATCCTCCTCTGAGTGGTTGACAGTAGTAGCTGGGCCCCATCTAGTTCTTCTGGTCTCATAGTCGTATAGGCTGTGGATCACATGGTATACCAGTCTTTAGGGCTAATTCTTTCTACGAATCTTTGGTTTTCTTAATTTTTCTTTGCTCTGGATGAGGAGAGACCCATCGTTGCCACTTGAGAAAGTAGGAGGTGGAACAATGTTTTGTGTAGTATGTTATGCCAGTTGAGCTTGATGTGCCCTGTGACTATGGTCCTGAGCCCACAAGTTCAACTACTCGGTCCCTCTGGGTAGCTGGCTTTGACCAAGAAGTGACTACAACCTTGTCCCTTGTCAGTTCTACTATGCATCTGGGAATTCAGATCATACAAATATACTTACAGGACCACTGTCTGAAAGGTTGCCTTATTTTGATGTGCTGTGGTGAACAAAGGAAAGGAGTATATGGCTGTTTTGGGGGAACTGTATAATCCTGAGGTGGTGGCTGTGGTGTTTGATGAGAAAGAGTCCTAGAGGAAGATGAATCTCAAGGTTATAACTCTTATTGACCATTCTTGTGTTCTGTGCTTTGCTTTAATACAGGAGGCTGTTCTGCTATATTATGCTTATTAAATTAGAAACTTTTAAAAAAAGTTGTTTTTAGAAATTTCTGAGGGACCTAAGAATTCTTTTAAGTTCCAGAAGGAAAAGTTAACTCATAATTTATGTATATGTTTAAATGCTCATAACTTTGAGTAATTTTTAGGTGATACCTACAGGAAAAATTGAAATCTAAGCTATTAGGTGAAGTTCATTTTCTTTCTTACCCCCTGAATTTAGTTTCTTTGTGCATAGGAACAAAATTTGTTCACACAATAAAGCAGTGCCCAAGAACAGGTGCTAGTCACAGTTAGTTGTGAAGACAATTGAGATGGGTCAGTATTGGATATTGCTGCTTATCAGCTTACATAGTGGGATATCTCTCTTATTAGCATTTTTTCTTACTAGCAGAAAGAGTGAGGAATCTAATATGTACTTGAAAATCACTTTTTGTGACTATTCTCAAATGATCCCTAATAGAGATGAAGTTATTTGAGATTTTGCTTTAGCTATAGTGCTTTCAGGAGAGCTTGTAATGCAGGAATGAAAGTAACCTGTTAATCTTTTTTTTTTTTTTTTAAATTCTAGGTGAGAATTATGAAGATGATGACCTAGTAAATTCTGATGAGGTTATGAAGAAACCATGTCCAGTACAGATTGTTCTTGCCCATGAAGATGACCATAACTTTGAGCTTGATGAAGAAGCCTTGGAGCAGATACTGCTGCAGGAACATATACGAGATCTTAACATAGTAGTGGTATCCGTTGCAGGAGCTTTTCGTAAAGGGAAATCATTTCTACTGGACTTCATGCTTAGATATATGTATAACAAGGTGAATAGTGTCTTTTATAAGTTGAACCCAATTTAAAACAAAACTACCAACCAACCAACCCTATTTAAAAGAAAGAAAGAAAGAAAAAAAAAGTAAGAACTGTATTTTTAATTTTATAAAAATACAGTTCTTTATGAAACTTTTCAGTTAAAAATATAAATTAGTTTGGGCCCTTGATTCTTCTTCATCTCCATAATTTCTTTATGTACATACTAATATTGATGCATATGAGTGAGCTATATGTGTTCCAGGCATTGTATCTCTAACCCAAGCAGCTGAGTATACCCTGAAAATCTCTGAAGTACTGTTCATCTTCTCCTCACTGTTTGTTATTTCTTCACACCTTCTCCTTTCTTAGTCATCTTTACATGAGTGAAGGTAGACTGGTAGAGACCTTCATTAAAGCATTACCTCTGTTCCTCAAATAAGTCATTAGTCACTTTCTGTGGTTTACTATTTTTCTCTGAGGTAACGTCCAATTCATTAGAGTGGCTTCCTTGGCATCCATGATTTCTGAGCTTCATCTTCTGCCTCTCTAAATCAGATAGACTATAGTTTTTTCATTTCCTTGCATGTGTAACAATGTTTCTTAAATCAGGTCTTGCTGTATTCTCAACTGGTCTTTTCATAGGAAACCTTTCCTGACTTACAAGACTATGCAGTGTCCTTCTGCAGATTCTCATATCACAGGCCATATGTTTTTCTGAGGTTAATTTTAGTTGCTTATTTTTCAGGGCTGAGCCTTATTCTTTCTTTCCTTTTTTAAATATTGTGTTTTAGGTAGAAGTTTACACAGCAAATTAGGTTCCCATTTAATAAATTTTATACAAATTTTTCTATGACATTGGTAACTATTTTCACAATGTATAAGCAATCTCATTATTTCCATTCTGTTTGTTCTGTTTCAATTGATTTAGCCTCCCTCTTCCTCCTTGCTTTCTCATCTTTGCTTTTGGGTAAATGTTGATGATGATCTGGTGTCACATAATTGATTGTTTAAGGGAACACATTACTCATGAGTGATACTGTTTATTTTATAAGCCAATCTATTACTTGACTGAAAGGTAGGCTCTAGGAGTAACTTCAATTCCAAGTTCAAAGGGTATCTTAAAGCAATAGTCTTGGGATTTTTTTCTAGTCTGTATCAATCTAGTAAGTCTGCTCTTTTTTAGGAATTTGAATTTTGCTCTACATTTTTCTCCCATTTTATCCAGGACCTTCTATTATGTCCCTGGTCAGAACAGTCAGTAGTGGTATCCAGACACCATCTAGTTCTTCCATCTCAGCTAGAAGAAGCTGTGGTTCATGTAGGTTAATAGTCCTGTGGACTGGTTTCTTCTTTGAGCCTTTGGTTTCCTTCATTCTCTTTGGCTCCAGATGAGTAGAGACTAATAGTTACATGGCCACACACAAGCTTTTAAGACCCCAGATACTGCTACTCATCAAACTAGGATGTAGAGCATTATCTTTATAAACTGTATTATGCCAGTTGACTGAATTGTTCCACAAGTCCATGGTCTTAAGCCCTGTAACCCAGTAAACCAATCCTGCAAGTTGTTTGGATCTGTCTAGAAAGTCCCTGTAACTGCAGCCTGTGTGCTTTCTTATATGAATGCATATAGACCTCTTGAGCACAATAATTGGCACTTAGTAGGCATTTATTATCTATTGTGATCAATGAATTCCATCCTTCTATACATTTCCCTTTTCTGATGGTACCAGACAATTAATAGTTATTTCCTTTTCTGATGGTACCAAACAATTAGTAGTTATTTCCTTCCTCCTTACTGACTTTGACTTCTGCTGGAAAAAAAGTAAACAGTTTTATCACTTGAATTAGAATGTTTTTCTAACAGTTGAAAGTTGGTTTGATAGAGACCAAGAAGAAGGAATTAGAAGTTCTGAAGTCGAGTGTTTATGGGAAGGACTTTAGAGAGGGCTTTTGATATTCAGAAGCCATATGAAGACTGTAGAAATAGCACTTTGACAGAATTATGTAATTGTTTAAACATCTGTCAGGGTGCTCACCTTCAAAAGTGCTATATAATTCTGGAATTGAGTATGCTCTGTCTTGAGATGAACAATAATGTAAATGTTCCTGATAGATTTTCCAACAATTTTTTTTACATGTTCAGGAAATTGAGAAAGATATAGTTCTTTAAGATTTTTCAGATTAAACTTGATTATTTTCCCTGAATTTTACAACTGAAATTGTTGTTGTTGTTGTTGTTATGTGCCATCGAGTCAGCCCTGACTCATAGCGACCCCTCCTTGGGTTTCCGAGGCAGTATCACTACGGAAGTAGGATTGCCCAACCTTCCTTCCGAGGAGTGGCTGGTGGGTTTGAACCACCAGCCTTCTGGTTAGCAGTCAAGTGCTTTAGCCACTATGCTACCAGAGCTCCTAAAACTGAAATAGAAATGTATAAATAGTGGCATGTTGTTGTTCTTGTTGTTATGTGCCGTCGAGTCGGCCTTGACTCATAGTGATCCCTCCTTGGGTTTCCGAGGCAGTATCACTACAGAAGTAGGATTGCCCAACCTTCCTTCCGAGGAGTGGCTGGTGGGTTTGAACTGCCAGCCTTCTGGTTAGCAGTCAAGTGCTTTAGCCACTATGCTACCAGAGCTCCTAAATAGTGGCATAGTCTTTAGAAAACAAGAAAAGAAATCTGCATATTTAAAGATGGTAAAGAATTCCTCTATTTTGAGGTCCTCTGACTTCTTAGGTTAGCTTATATATATTGTGTATATCTATGTCTTAGCTGTTGTTGTTGTTAAGTGCCGTCGAGTTGTTTCCGACTCATAGCGACCCCATGCACAGCAGAACGAAACACTGCCCGTCCTGTGCCAGCCCCACAATCCCTGCTATACTCGAGCCCATCATCGCAGCCACTGTATCGATCCATCTCCCTGAAGGCCTCCCCCTCTTTCGTCGACCCTCCACCCTACCAAGCATGACATCCTTCTCCAGGGAATGGTCCCTTCTTACAAAATGACCAAAATAGGTGAGACGAACCCTGCAAATATATTAGATTCTAAGTAGGTGAGAGACAGTAGATATGACATAAATTTCACCTCAGGTGCCATTTCTTTTTCCATCTCTGATCAATTAGTAATGGCTGAGCTCTGGTGGCGTAGTGCCTAAGGCATTCGATTGCTGACAAGAAGGCTGGTGGTTCAAATCCAAGGAGGGATCACTATGAGTCGGATCCGACTCCACAGCAGTGAGTTTGGTTTTTGGTTTTTGCTTAGAATAGGGTAGCAGCCCACATGTAATATGTATTTATAATCTCTGAACTAATAAAACTCCCTTTGTGCTTGGAGAGATACTGAAGCCGTGGAAAGTTTATGATGGCTGATGGCATAAATTTACATATCTAGGCAGTGGCTTCCAAACTGGTGAAATAATATCCTTAATAATTTTTATTCTTATGGTGTCCATGTAGAGGTCTTTATAAATCATCGTTTTCAGTTAAATAAAAAATTATATTAAAATAGCATCTGATTTTTAGGTTAAAATGCCTCTGCTTATCCTGGCTTAGGGGTGGTTCATCCTTGTCCTAGGAATTGAAACTAAGGAAGGAGAGATAACCGTGGAATCATTTTGGATTTGTTTTATTAACCTACATGCTTGCAAGGAGTCCCTGGGTCTTGCTAAGCACTTGACTGCTACTAGCTGAAAGGTCAGCAGTTCAAACCTACCCAGAGATGCCTCAAAAGACAGGCCTGGTGATCTGCTTCTGAAAGGTCACGGCTTTGAAAAGCCTATGGAACACTTCTATTCTGAGCACATGGGGTCACCAGGAGTCAGAATTGAGTCTGTGGCAACTAACAACAGGATATGCTACAGAGGTGAGATGCTAGCTGAAGGAACAGAAGTGAAGCAAACATTGGCTCATGCTGACTATGTGTCTTCTGTATTAACCTTAGTCAATATATGTAAATATTGAGTTCATTAAAGGAGCTAATGATATAAATGTTTTACTTTACTATGTAGAAATAGATTAGTATTTTCATTTTGAGTAAAAAAGTAATGATAAAGAAATACTAACATAGGACTGAATGTGAGCTCTTTTCTGTTGTTTAGAAATAGAAATGTCAGTAGCTGTGTTCTTAAAACGTAAAGTTTTAGTTAAAGAACATTCTGATATTTTAACCAAACATTTCAAAATTATAGGGGAAATTGTGATTTTTAGGTCTCATTTTCTTAAGAAGTAAATAGCTTTTCATGCAGTTGTTTTTTAAGCTGCTACTTTAAGAAAATTGTTTTTACTTAATGTATGGGAGAAAAGAAATTAATCTTCTGTTGCAAACATGAGAGGTGAACTAAAGATTTTTCTAGGATTAAATTTCATGTCTTGTCAGAATTAATTATTATGATACTACTTTTAAGATGAAATGTAGGACATGAGAGTGTCACCAGAATTGCTGATATTTTGAATTCATAACACAAGAAGCATTTTGAACTTTTAAGGATATCGTTTACGACATTCATCATGAATGCCAGTTATGTATGAAGTATACAACAGATACTCAAGTTTGTTGATGTACCCAATAATTTGTAAGTAGAATATTTATTACTTAAATGTCATTATTAAAAATTATTAAATGAAATAATTGTAAAAATTTATATATCAGATGCATTATGTCAGTATTTTTAATAATCATTATTATTTCATGTGTAAAAGTAGTAAATTATGCAAAAAACAAAAGCTATGAATTGTACGTGCAGGGGGCATTAAAATTGGTAATGAGAGACAGAATTGGCAGGGGAAGTGAGAAGGTTGACTTTACCCTCTGAAATAAACATATGTACACCCTCAAATATTCTGTGCCACTCCTTTTTCTAACTCTGATTCATTGTTCAGAGAGGTATCATTTAGGTAAATGTTCTTCTTCTATTATAATTTACATACAGAAAAGTGCACAAATCTTAAGTATACAGCCTGATGAAATACATGTCTGCTCCTATGTAATTACTGCCCATAAAAGATCTAGAAA